GAGGATGTACTTGGTGGCGGGGGGCAGGGGGCTGGCCGGCTGCGGGCACCTCCTGGTCTCGCTGCTGGGGCTGCTGCTGCTGCTGGCGCGCTCCGGCACCCGGGCGCTGGTCTGCCTGCCCTGCGACGAGTCCAAGTGCGAAGAGCCTAGGAGCTGCCCCGGGAGCATCGTCCAGGGCGTCTGCGGCTGCTGCTACATGTGCGCCCGCCAGAGGAACGAGAGCTGCGGCGGCGCCTACGGGCTCCACGGAGCCTGCGATCGGGGGCTGCGCTGTGTCATCCGCCCCCCGCTCAATGGCGACTCCATCACAGAGTACGAAGTGGGCGTCTGCGAAGGTACGGCCGCCCGCCGCGGGCCCCCTCCCACCTGGCCCGCGCCGCCCCCTCGGCGCTGGCTGCGCGGAACAAAGTTTGGCGGAGACTTTCCCGAGGAGAGAGGGCTCCACGGGAGAAGGGGCTGGTCGCTGGCCCCGGGAGGGAGCCCCGCGTCCCTCCATTCCCGCGCACTGCCTGTCCCCCCCTCCCCCGATCCCTTCAAGCTGGCTAACCGCGGGCGAGGTTGGATTTCGTGGGTGGGGGTGGGCGAGTGGGGGGATCGTCCCCCGGCCCTTCACAGATTCGCACACGTGTGGCCATTCGGGCTTGGGTTGGGTGGCTCGGCCCTGCACCCCGAGGTGTGGGTGCCGCGGGCAGGGGGTACTGCAGAGGCTGTCGCCGGCACCTCGGGGAGTCCGACCCCGCCACCCTCCCTACAGTAGCGTAGTGTGGAACCGAGTGCCACATACGGTAGCGTAGTGTGGAACCGAGTGCCACATACGGTCCGCGAGATGTTCTGTTGGCGGAGGAGACGTGTCTGCAGCTCACTCCCTGTGACTCTTCGATTATTTTTTCCTTGCCTCTTCCTTCACCCCCTTCCTCTTCCTTCGCATGTAAATCAGTTTCAGCTCGGGAATATGACAGCCTAGGGGAAGTTACATACAGCGGTTACTCATGTATTTGCCTATTGAAACCCGTCAAAGGCTTTCTTTCCTGAATGAACGGGGGAGGGGGCTTGCACCTGGGGGTGAAAAGTTATTTCTATTAGTGGCTGCTTTTTAAGATCAGGTGTCCGCGTGTTTCCAATCGCGTCGCCTGTTCTTTTTTTGTTTGACAGCGAGGATTGCTGTTCTGGTTTCTCCCTAAGCCCTGTCCAGACTGATGGAGGGAGAAAAAGAGTAGGCTAGTGGAGCCTCCCCTCGTTGGGAGAACCTCTGTAGAAGGGTGTTGGCCTCAAGCCCGGCCCGCCTGCCTCGGCCTCGGGGTGCCTGGTGTGGTTTAGGGTCTAGACAGAGGCAGTGAGTTCTTTTTATCTGGCTAATGAACAGGATTCTTGAGCACGAGTTAAAAAGAAGGATCCGTGCTCGGACAGACGTTGGGGGCGATGGTGCTCTTGCGGGGCATCCTGGTGTATGAGCAGAGGAGCAGCAGCCTTACCCTGAAGGAGCGGCAGGAACAGGGACGGGCGCCCTCTGTCCCCGGTCCCTTCCTTACTACTCACAGCCAGCATCTAGAGAACAGAGAAGGAAGAATTTATTCTGAAGCATTCTTAAGTATGTATGTGTTTGTTTATTGTGCTGGGATACTGAAAAAAAGGGGTATAATCTTAAGGGTAAACGGAGTCTACTAAAAGGCTTCAATTCTGTGATTTTCTTTAAGGACACACATATACGTATTTATTTATACCTGTAGTTTTTAGAGTTTGGACCTTTCTGGAAAATCGAAGAGGCCTTTCTGGTTTGGAAGCTAGTGGGCAGTAATGAGTGAAGGGAACTCTTCTCAGAGGGAAGGGACTTGTACTGCTAAGGCCCTTAGGACGCTGAGTTTAGAGTTCATTTGCCTGTCATACAAAAGCCTCTCATCCGGTGTTTAAGTCCCATTTAATAACGTTTTTATTTCTCACATCAGGAAAAATGGCCAGGAGATTAACTACTGATATGATTTCATGTGTTTGACTTCAGTAATTCTGAGTGACTTAGCTTGAAAGATGCCACTTGGAGTGTACAATTGACTTAAGCCAGCTTCCCATAAATCTAAAAAGAACAAGCAACATGAAACAAGGTTAAATGCGGTGGAAACTGCTGTGCTTTGAGGACTTTTGGAGGCTCTAAAGATTCGAACCCTTGTTTAGTTTCTCCACGATATATTTCTGGTGGAGGAAATGCGGAGCCCAGGGAACAGTCACAGCAATCAAGTGTTTTGGCAACAATAGCCTGGTGTCACAGCTTAGAGTTATTTTGGCAGTTTGTTGGTGAGCCTCTCATTCCTCTGAAATGATGCGATCTCTCTCATAGCTTCCTTTCTTCTGATAACGCCCTGTGCATTTGGTATTAGCCTTGAAAATGCTTGGAAGTATTTGTTGCCATGATTATATCTGAATTCATGTTTCTAGCAACACTTTTCATTTAGCAGGCCTGTTTTCGGGGCATTTTGTTTCATTTGTCTAGAATTCTAAAAGCAGCAGTCAAGTTGCATTCTGAATCCATGAAACCAAAGTAAGAAAGACTGTTAACTGGTGTAATATATCTATCTATCGATTTTCACTTTACTACAAGATTTGTGAAAAATATAGTTTAAGTGTTTTTTTCTTTTTTAAGAATTAGAGTCTTTACATGTCAGTAATTATCTGGAAGGTGCTGACCTTCTCTTTTGTTTCTCTGTCACTTCACAAGAAATTCGTCATTGCCCAGTGTTTCCCTCAGTTTCCATTTCTATTTAGAGATTCATGCTCTGAAACATGATTATCATAACTAACATGAATAGAAATTGATATATTTTATACATGTTGAAGTCTCTTGCTGCAATTTTTGCACTAAAATGACCCCTACTGGTTGTATCTGTTAATGAAAACTCTTTTGAAAAACTTCTTATTTAATTGGCTCCACTGAGAAAACATATTGCATGGTATAGAAATATTATCATGACTAAGCTACCTGCTTTCAATGACATAATTTAAATACAAATTACATTGCTCTATTTGCCAACTTGCAGTAATTTTTATTTGTGTTCCTTCTCGTACAGGCTTTGTGGGGGCGAAAAATCATGTTTTTAACTGTAGTTCACAAAGTGAATTAGATAATAAATCAGGGCAGAAATGGACTCCTTCCAACTTGTGGCTCACTGCCTTAGATTTTTAAGGCACGCCAGCCCACAGTAGGCTCTCACTAAACATGCATTGGAAAAATAAATGAACCATGCTCTCTGTAGAAAAAGAATACTGAAAAGAATATTTTCTGAAAACTTAAATAATGGGAAGAGTTGGGTCCTGTGAATCATGTGACACATACGCTTGAACTTTTGAGCATCATTTAGATTGTTATTAAGTAAATCCTGATTTAATTTCTTTTTTAAAAAAGTTTTTGGCTAAGTACCTTTTAAATATAGAGTATAGAGCCAGATACCTAAGGTTTTCTCTGCTTTCTCTCAGTCTAACGAGTACTTTCTTTTCCCCAATGAGAAAGAGGGCTCAAGTCTCTTTCCCATTTCCATTTGGTGAGTCTTCCTGAGCCTTTTGCAACATTCTAAGTGGCCTGTTTCTTGGCGAGGCTGCCTGCCTCCAGGTAAATTGCCTTAGAGCCAGAGAAAACGAGTTTGGATTCTGAACTCCTGAGAAAGAAGACTGGATGGGAGGAGACCTTTTGGGAGATGAAAGATGGAGCATTGAAAAACAACTGAAGTAGAATATTCTAGGAAGAATGTTTTGATGGGATAGTGAGGGTCATATTTTCCTCCTAATGCAAACTAGTACATTATGCTTCTATAAGGGGTGGGGCAAGGTACGGGGAGTATGATCGGCTTTCTCTAATAAAAGGGCAGATGATGGCTTGAGTTTGACAGTCTGTGAGTACAGAGTGATTTGAGACCTGGTGGACACTATTGAGTGGTTTTGCTCTGAGAACTTAGTTGTATTGGATCCAGGTGATCACCATGGTAGATAAGCACTGACTTTCTTTCCAGTGACTAGTTACTTGGTGGCTTCATC